CATCTTAAAAAAAAACTATTTGATTCCATTGTCAAAAAAATCATTGGTTCATGGTTCGGTTTGATTTGATTCTCTTGGAACCAGAATCAAATGGAACCACGTCCACCCCTAATCACATCACTATTTAAAATACATTATTTCCTTAATAATATTCATCAAACACACCCGTATACTGTAGATTGGGAATTAGGGTTTTAGGAGACGAAAAAAAATGAACGAAGACCGAATGCATATTTTGGGGTTGGGTGAATCTTTTGACAATAAATTTTTTTGTACAATGTAGCTTATAATATTGATAGTGTCGAGTGGGTTCGGCCTTAGATATTCAAGTTCGGCTTGTATCCATAAATGGAACTCCGCTTGATTGTACCCTTGCTCGTAAGCATCATTCGTCTAGCTGATTCATTCACGAACCAACGAGTTGGCTCGTATTTTAAACAATATAATATAACTAGTGGGCTCAAGATTCCAAAGTGAGCCGGCTCGTGGACTCTTGAAAAAAGAAAAAAAAAGAGCTCTATTTAATTAATGGTTTGTCTCAATCGAGGTCGAGTGATCAGCGACTCAACTCTTTTGTCACTCCAATTTTTTTTTTTTTTTTGAAAATTAATATTTTTAAAAAATATGTGGTTAAAACTAAAAGTAAATAAAGATCAACGACTCAACCCTTTAGTCACTCCAATTTTATTTTTTTTGTGAAAATTAATATTTTTAAAAAATTTGTTGTTAAAACTAAAATTAAATAAAAATTATGAATCTGTAGCAAAAAAATAAAATAAAATTTAAGTGGGAAATATGAAGTTAAAAAAGGAATTTTAAAAAAATAAATTTTAAAGAAATTCTACCAGGCATGACTTGGTTAAGTTTGAAAATAAAATACTTCTTCTTTGGAACTCTTATAATTTGACATTTATACAATGATTCTCCTAAGAAAATATGAAAATTTATATTTATCTTTCACAAATCCATTAATGTAATAAAATCACGTTTTGATTGAAAAAAACAGAAATGCAAAATTAAAAATAAACGGTATAGCTGTCATTTTAATAATAAGAGTCACTCAAATTCAAGAAATTATTCGTTTTGAGTATGGGACGAAAATTACGTCCGACAAATTCCCATTGTGTAAAATATTATCTACAACAACAACAACAACAATAATAATAATAATGTACTAGGGTTGTACTTGATCAAGGCTATATCAAATTACCTCATCTTGATAATTGATTAATCTTGATAATTGTGCTTACTGTCAAGAAATAAAATTTCAAACCGAATAAAAATGAAAATATTAATCAAATTATAAGGGTTTGGACTCCTCCTTCTATTTTTAAGATGAAGTCTCAATTCTTAACATAGTATTATAATCCATTAAACTCCAATGAATAATTCGATCTGATAAAGACTCAAAAAACAAATATGAAGATTTTAAGATTAGTTTGCTCAAATGAGCAAGGAATTGTTAGAGGATAAAATAACATATCAAATAAAGATAAAAATATAAAATCTTAACAATAAATGCTTAATCTTTATACCTTTTAAGATGAAACCTAGGGCCTGTCTGTTTGCGTTGAAAATTAAAATTCAGAACGTTAGAGAATTGAAAACACAAACGTTGGGCATGACAACTTTGACCAATTGTGAGTTGCGGACTCCTAGGCTTAGAAAATAACGGTAGGAAAATCCATTTTCTCCCTGAAAGAATCTCGGGCAAACAGGCCCCTAAAATCTTTATACCGCTTGATGTCGCAAAAATGCTTAATACGAGTTCACTCCACTCCATTGACATTAACAATATAAAGAATTACAAACATTTGCATGAAACAAAATTTAAGAAATTGGTTAGACAAGACAAGACAAGACAAGTGGAATGGGTTTAGAAAACAATCCATTATTATTCTCAATTATTTGTGAAATTGTTGGGTTGGTTTTAGTCGGTGCAAACGTGATGTAGTCATGAAAGAGACGTTACCAATCAAGAACCACCACATGACAATTGTCTTACATTAAACATATAAAATATTTTATATACATACGTGATTATGCAAGCCCTCGTAAAAATTTCTTTAAAACTCATTTTTTTTCGAATTCATTTCCAATTATACATTCAAAATCACTTTTTATAAAATTCATTCTAAAAAAGTTTACATCAAACCGACCTTGATTATATTCACGCACTTGTCTTATATTTTTGTCGTGAACATTAAATTGTAAATTCGAGTCACTTGTTTTGTCCTAATCATCAAAATCAAAATCCAAATTAGAATAATAAAAACCAATTAGGGTGGCGTTCTCTATTGGTTTTAGGTCATGGAAAGGGTAAAAGTGGAACCCATTTGCATGATTAGGAGGAATATTTAGTTGCTGTGGGTCTCTTCTAGTCTTAATTTTCTAATCGTCGGGGAGGCGCCGCCATGGTGGCTGCGACGATGACGAATTAGGTAATTAGTACGTGCTTGGAAACTATTTGTCGTTCTATAGCCTGACTAGTCATCCGAAGATTTCACTTGATAGAATCATAGAATTCCAAATAGTAACAAAAGTGACGATATTAAATTTCTTAATTTCACCGACTCGATTGGAGTATTCGTCTCCTCAAAATCTTTAGTATTAAGAATAAAATTTTACATTGCTTAGTATCGAACAATTGTTAGAATACGATCTATTCATTCCAACAATGCTAACTCTGTAAAGTTAAACTTCAAATTATCATTTTGTAGGAATATATTAAGAGTAATATATCACGTCACTTGAAGTATAAATAATAACTAAATTATAAAAAGATCGATTAATTTTATCGAGATTAAAATGAAATCCTAATAATCAACATGTACATGTGACTATTATTACTCGCGAAATAAATTGTCCATTTCTATTGAAAATGGAAGATTTTGTTAACGATCGATTTGGGAATGGTCACCCAATAAATTTCGCACTCTTAAAACTTGTTTGATTCCCATTTTTTAAATTATTTTTTCTCTTTTCTTTTCGACTACATATTTTTTAATAAAATAATATTACACACAGTTCAAAAAGATTTCTTCATTTTTAACTATACATTCTACATCAATTTACTATTTCAAAATGTATTTTATTTAAAAACGTGAGGCTCAAACATGCCCTTAATAATTAAACATGTGTTTTGATTCCACATGCCTTTCATAATGCGCCACTACACCAACTAGACCGTGTTGCAAAGCTTAACAAGCTCACTCATAAGTCAAAAAGTATGTTTTTCCATATATTTTTTCAATTTTTTAAATTACACATTTTTTAAAATTATTATTTTTCAAAAATCACCTTTACACAAATACTTGCTCCAACAAAATTTTTGTTTTAACTATTTAATAAAACACGATTATATAAATAAAGTTAAGAAATACGTGACAAATCTTACAATGTATTTTAGAATAGCAATTTTATGCCCTTGTTTGGGTTCCATTTTAATGAGATTTTGGGAAAAAATGTATATTAAAATAGTAATTTTCTAAAAAATATGTGGTTAAAAATCTTGAATTTACGTGTAATATTATTTTATTGAAAAATGTGTATTCGAAAAGAAAAAAAATGTACTAAAATCAAAGTGAGCCCAAATAGGATATTTGGTTCATGTTTATAAGAGTCAATTCACTTTTTATCCAATCACCCTGACCCGGTACACCAAGGGTTGTTCAACTTGAATAAGCACCCTACAAAAACATGTTCAATGACAGGTTAAAAAAATGAGTAACTCATTACTCGTATTGATATATGATTGAATAATTTTGAAAAAAAAAAAAAAACATAACACCCAATCATTATCCATCAGACTACATTGTCACCTCCACATCATGTCAAGGAGCGTTATTCTAACTCTATCTCTCGCTCCTTTGTATCTAATTGATAGACTCAAAATATACCCTCCACCAATAGTTCTATTGTACGGTATTCGAATGGCTAATCTCGCTTTCAACGACAAAAACTTTTTTTTGACAGTGACATAAACTTTTTTTTTTTTTAAAGATAAGATAAATAATTTTGTTACTAACCTTTTGTTTGGTCTTCATTAGAACTATTAAAAAATGAGTGATACTACAAGAACATAATTGTCTACATAATGATTTACATAATTACAAGTGGTATTGATCAAAACCTTTAATTCAAATATGACACTTTCACTTCAACGACAGGATGGTTGTCACATCACATTATGTCATTCATTATGTACATTTAACATTTTCTTTAAAAAATGTATTTTGGACAAAAAATGAAGAGTCCTGCTTCGTGTACAGAAGTAGAGGCCACAGAAAGCCAACAGAGAAGACACGCGGTGGGGCCTGCACAATTTTTTTTTTTTTATAAATACAAGATTGGGCCCGATATTGTGAGTATTCTGGTGACTTTCTGGCAAAACCTTTTGCTGAAAAAGGAACTCAAACGGACTCTAAATGACCGAATCTGTTTGAAGAGGAAATAGTAGCGATGAAAAACAAACTTCTCTTTCTCTCTCTATTTTCCATTCCTTCCGCCTTATCTCTCTCTCTGTAGATTTCCATATCTACGTCAATATGTCTCCATTTATATGTATATACCATTTCTCGAGCTAGAACATTTGCCTTTTTCTTTGAATTCTCTGGAATTGAATTTCTCTTCAAACTTCTTTTTGCCCCGGCTATAATTTTCAATTCTCGACCTAAAAGACCCTCTTTTTTTTTTTTTGGTGAAAGTAGCTAATGTTTTCTAAACAAAAGTAGCATTGAAGGGTATTGGGCAACAGGGTAGGTGAGAATTCCTTTGATGGACTAATAAAATCTCTATTTTTTGGTCCAGAAATAGCATTTATCGGAGTTTTTAGACAAAAGGGTATCGAGTTCCAATAATTTATAATTTTTTGTATGAAGATAATCTTCATCGGTTTTTGTCAACTGGGTCTCTGAGAATTTTAGCTGAATTTAGGAAAAAGAAAACGAAAAAGGTGAATAGAAAAAAAAATCATGTCACCGGTTCCAATAGAGACTACAATGGCCGAAACGACGTCATGTTCTGAAGGTTTAAGTCGTTTTGGAGATCTGAGAGGGGTGCAATGGCGCATAGATTTAGGGGTTTTACCATCTTCTTCTTCATCTATCGAAAATCTTCGCCGAGAGACGGCCAATTCTCGAAGAAGGTAAATATCTTAACTCCTTGATTATTTTCTATTTGTTGTTCAGGATTCATTTTATTTCTAATTTGGTGACTCAATTGTCCTTAACAGAGGTTTGGGAAGTTTCTATGTTCATTTTATTGGCATGTGCCTGTCTTTTCATTAATTTGTGCACCTTCGTGGAGTGTTTGGATTTTTCGAGTTATTCTGTTTCTTTAGTCATCAAATCGCGGTTTATTAAAGTCTGTATAGTGATTCGCATTTGGAATCTTCTAACATTGAAAACCTTTTATTTTTTTCTTGTTTAGTGGATTGTTTTCCAAATTTTTTTGTTCTGGTTACAACCAACCTATATTCTGCAAGTGGTTATTAAAGATTCGTTCTTATTCCAGTTTTAGGTAAATAGTTTCTTTTTGATGAGTTGATTCATCATTCATGATTTATGTAGGTATGCTGCTCTGAGGCGGCAGCTTCTAGTCAATCCACATGTTCCCAAGGATGGAAGTAATTCTCCTGATCTTGTCATGGACAATCCACTGTCACAAAGTCCAGGTAGATTTTCTGTATTTTGCATACATTCATCACTATGACTTTTTTATTCCCTCAAGTTTGGTAAACTTTCTTAAAGTGCCTGCATTTCTAAAACTATTTTTCTCCTCCTTTTTAAGTTTTCTCAATTAAGATTCCGTTTCTCAGCCATATAAATAGCTTATACTTGAGTTACCATACTTGTCCAGAACCTGCACTAGTGACTATTAAGTTCACGCACTCACTAGAATAATTTTTTTTTTAAAGTAATCCATGCTGTCACTATTTGTCTTGCAGACAGCATGTGGGGTCGTTTCTTCAAGAATGCTGAACTGGAGAGAATGGTTGACCAAGATTTGACACGCTTATATCCTGAACCGGGTAGCTATTTCCAGACACCTGGATGCCAAGGCATTTTAAGGCGAATTTTACTACTTTGGTGCGTTAGGCATCCAGAGTATGGCTACAGACAAGGTAGGTTTTCTTTGTAGTTTGTATTCTGTTTTTACTGCTTTATCATTATTTATCAGTCATAGTGGAATCAAAAGTGGCTGCCTTTAGTGTGGATTAGTAAGCGGAGATGTTTACGCTGACAATTTGAAAATATACTTAATAGACTATTGGGTGATCTGAATTTGAAGAAGACTAATCAAAGTAGAGCTTTCTGATTAATCAGTTCTGTGATGCTACCAGATGTGATATATCTGTGCCTTCAAAATATATCTCATTAATTGCATAGACTGGATGTGAAAGAATATCGAAGTCAGACTTTTCCTATCCAGTTATTATTACTGTCAAATTGATTGTGTACTTCCGGAATCATCTCTTCATTCGATCTCTCCATGCTTTCGTTTGTAGGGATGCATGAACTCTTGGCCCCAATGTTGTATGTTCTACATGTTGATGTTAAGCGTCTTTCAGAAGTGAGAAAACTTTATGAAGACCACTTCATTGACAAGTTTGACGGCTTCTCATTTCATGAAAATGACTTGACTTATAAGTTTGATTTTAAAATGTTCTCGGATTCTGTTGAAGATGGGAATGGATTGGGAAAAGGTTCTGTGAAGTTTAGCAGTCTTAATGAACTTGATCCCAAGATACAAACAATTGTTTTACTTAGCGATGCTTATGGGGCAGAAGGTGAACTCGGTATTGTTTTATCTAAGAAATTTATGGAACATGATGCATATTCTATGTTCGACGCTTTGATGAGTGGGGCAGGTGGGGCTGTTGCCATGGCAGATTTTTTCTCTCCATCTCCATTTGGGAATTCACATAATGGGTTCCCCCCTGTAATTGAAGCTTCTGCCGCACTCTATCATTTGCTTTCCATTGTTGATTCATCTCTTCATGGCCACCTTGTTGAACTAGGAGTTGAACCCCAATATTTTGCACTTCGCTGGCTACGGGTCCTATTTGGGCGTGAATTTTCACTTGATGACCTTTTAATTATTTGGGACAAAATTTTTTTGTATGATAATACCAAATTCAACAAACCTGCCGATAATGCTTCCGAGTCCAAATTTGCAGTCCTCAGTTCTCCTAGAGGAGCATTCATTTCTGCTTTTGCAGTTTCAATTATACTTCATTTGAGATCTCCAGTGCTTGCCACTGAGAATGCTACTGTCTGTCTTCAAAGATTGTTGAATTTTCCCGACGATATAGATCTTGTTAAGCTGCTAGCGAAGGCAAAGTCCTTGCAGGCTCTGGCGATAGATGCGAACAACTCAACTTCCCTATTGATTGATCCCGGGTTTGATTACAGAGGTGAGTCAGTTAGTACTAGGGGTCATAGCCTTTCGTTAGATTTAACTTCTCCAAGAACTCCCCAGAATGTGGTCCCCTATAGCTACTGGGAAGAGAAGTGGAGAGATTTGCACAAGGAAGAAGAGCACAAGAAAGGTCGTGTCGAAAAACAAGTTCCAAACAGCAGAAAAGGGTGGTCAGAGAGAGTGAGATTGCGACTGTCTAGAACAGAATCAGACCCATCTTCATCTAAGGTTGGTAAAATACAGAAAGACCAAAAGTCATCTGTTAGGAAAAGTTTGTTGAAAGATCTGGCCTGTCAGCTCAGATCAGATGAAGATACAGAAAAGGTAGGGTGCGGCGGAGATTTAGGCCATGAGGATCCAGTTGAGGTCAATGGGCAAGAAAATACTGATAAGAATTTCGGTAGCACATCCGAGCCAAGAGATTTGAGTGGAAGTGCAGAGAGTGAAGAGAATTCTTCCGATTTCTCAGATTCACCAAGTCCTGTTCATGGGGCTAATGTTCATCAGAACGACTCAGGAAAAAGTAGCATAGCATCAAACTTATCCATTGATGAAAATGATCCCGGTCCATGTGGCACTACCCTGGAATTCTCCCCTCTTCCCATCTCAGATTCACCTGATGATCTGTCTCTAAAATGTGCAGAGAATGACAATTCTGTAGGTAAATCAACCATGGGCATGAAGGAGCGAAAGTTTCTATCAGGGAAATTCCAAACCAATACCTTCAAACCTGCCTATGCGAGTGAGGGGACATCTGAAAAGATAGGTGCTTCTGAAGATGCGAAAGCTTGCCAAGGAGGAAGTGTTCAGAACACTATAGTTGGCTCTTCGACAGCCTATGGATGTGATAGCTCTTCGGGAATCAGCGAAGCAGAGACGGTTGAGCAAAACTTGATGGGTAGCTTCAGAAATCTTGGGCAATCCATGCTTGAGAACATCCAGGTACCAGTCAGTTAATTATGAATTCAGTCCATAATGGTTTTAGCTGTCAGTAGAATGTTCTTAATTAGCCTCAAAATGATCACTATTTTGGAAACTCTTCACATTACAATATTATGAAGCAATCACTGTTCTTTCAACCACAGATGCTATGTTCCTTCAAAAACTAGATTCAATTTGAAGTGTTAGACGTATACAAGCTTTAATAAAAGAAGTCCACCATGAAGCTTTTTCATAAAAAGAAAATATAATGGAAAATGCTTGTTTCAGATTGATTGTTACCTGAACAGAAGTGCGTGTGATTTTGTTTGAATGTGCAGGTTATCGAATCTGTTTTTCAGCAGGATCGAGGTCACACGGGACCCTTGGAGAACAGCTCAAAAAATGGTTTTGTTGGGCAAGGACAAATTACTGCCATGGCAGCCCTCGAAGAGCTTAGAAAAATTAGCAATCTTTTATCTGAGATGTGATGAAGTATTTATTTGAGTTAAAAACTGTATATAGATTTTGTAGTTATTTCTATCTCGAGTGGCAGAATCAATAGTTTTCCTTCGGCATTTTTTTTTTCAATGCAATTTTTTTACATGTAGACAGACTTGTAAATAGAATCATTATCTATAATTATTCTTATTCATAATAAAGTCATCCCCATCATTTGGACAGTGGTCATAAGGATGCAATTGCTGGTAATTGCAACGGCAAAAACTCAGATGCAATGTCTTTTGGCACTCAGATTCTTGTAAGCGACGAAGCTAGCCTCTGCTACAACATTTGAAATTCTGTACTTTCACCCTCTCTCTTTTTCTTTGTTTAATATCGTTGAGGCCACCTTAGTTACATGTCATAAAAAAATACACAGCATAAAATAGACGATAGAACTTTTCTCAATTTACATAAATAGACATCTCATTATTGGATAAATTGGTCCATGAATTATTCCGTTAATCACAAGCACGTGCATGCAAATACGATAAAATCAACTTATTAGTACAAAACATTGAATAGAGTTTCAATTGTTGGAATTTGGTTTGAAGAATTGAAATTTTGGTTTAGTATAAATCTTGAAAAGTGACTTTGTGTAAACTTGGGTCAAATATTCGAACTTGATCCGATAATCAAATTACGTAAGTAAATACACTAATTTATTCTATTCATTGAATACATCATCGTAGTTTATTTGAAATCTAAAAATCAGTTTCCGGATTAATGAAAAATTGTGGTCCAAAGTTCGAAGAAAAATTGAAATTCATCATGTGAGGCTGTCGCTCGAACTAGGGGTGGGCATAGGTTGGGTTTGGTCGGTTTTTGCCTCAACCCAAACCCAAACCCAAACCCAACTCAATATGATCAGTTTGATAAAAATTTAACATAACCCAACCCGTGTAGAGGTTGAAACCCAACCCAGCCCAATCAAGTATCGGTCAGGTTGAGTTGGTTGATTTGAGACGACTTGTCTATAAAAATTAAAGTCATCCAATTTTCTATTATATCTAATTCGAATAGACAAGATTAAATAGTAAGTAAATAAATAAAATTATATATTATTTTATTCAATTCATTAGCCGAGCCTACAAAGCATAAAGTGCATTTAACATAACATAAAAGTATATACTACATTTCTTGTGGGAAGAACAATAAGCTCCTCCTCTAAAATAAATCAAGGTAACTACAGTTATACTATGTACTCATACTTTTTAGGTTTCTTTTACTTTTCTAGACATTTTATTTCTTTTATTTTTATTATTTTTTTTAAGTGATGGGTTGGGTTGGGCAAGTTTATTCTATTTTCTTGAGTTAACCCATAACCATACCCGCTTACACAATCAACTCACCAAACCCGTGTAAAAACAACAAAAAATTCGATTTGTGCGGGTTCGGTCAGTTTTTGTCCACCCCTAGCTCGAACGACATGCCAGCGCTAGGCGAATGACAAACTCTCTGCTTTTGGTGCTCGAGTGACGCACAGGCGACAAGTGAGCAACAGCAAAAGGCTACGACTATTGGCTAAGATTGCTGAATTTTGGGACGTCTCTCCACCACGCCCATTCACCTTCTATATAAAAGACCACTAGAACATTCATTATTGATTCCATTCCATTTTTACACTTTGGATTTGTTTTTCAAAAAAAAAAAATTTGGTGAAGTGATTCCTTTTTTGCTTAGAAGTCATGGGTATGATAGAAAGAAAACTTCGTTCGAGTTCATTAGTCTAAGCCATTTGAAATGCTCTTATGGATAGATGTAGTCGTTATATCTAGAGAGATGATTGTCGAAAAATCGTTAGTACCGATATAAGGCAAATTCATTTTAAGAAAAGAGTGTCAAACACTTGCCTCGATCAATCCAATCACTTTTATTTCCTATTTTATTTTTGATTTCTTTGAACTTGAGATTTCATTTTAGAAAAATTAACTATTTTTTTTATTATATGAAATGTTTTTTTTTTTATTGAAGAACGGAAATAATAAAAATCCATCACCACATATTTGGTTTTGATAATTATCATTTCGCTTTCTCAAATCCTATTTTGGTAAGTCTATGCCTTACTCGATTTCGCACACATAAAATGTACGTTTCGAGAATATAATTCGTTATCGGTGTAATATCTCCAACATCAATTTCACGAAATCAATGCACAAAATAGATCTGTCTTTTGATTGTTGGAATGATAGAGAAGAAATCAAGACACTTGGAATTGCT